ATTTTTTTTACACAATGTTCATGGCACAAACTTGAGGCCTATAGACAACAAGCACCAGAAATACAAAATACTCAAGGAGAGATGAGTGATGCGTTTGTATGGATGAGAGATAAACAGAGTCTGGTGCTGGTGGCCGTCTTGGGAAATTCCCTGCTCCATTCTGGCATTGCTTTAATTTTCGTTTAATCCCAGGAGCAGAAGTTTAATGAACCAATTAATTGCAAAATCAGATTAAATCACTGAAAGCCTCGAAATGATCTCTGTGTGAAGTGTTTCTCTGATGCTCAAGGCACACATATTATTGTCCCTAGTTAATTTTTATTGTAAGATCTCTGTTAGAAGCCAACAAGTTCTTGAGTTACGAACTCCCACTATCCGCCCATTTTATCCTTGTTCACGGTCATAATGAAATATGTTCCCCATCATAACTTTATTAGATATAAAGCCATGTGGGCTTGTATCTGCCATGTCCAGGAGGAGCTGTCCTGTAGAAGCACTATTTTAAAAATATCCTTATCTATGACACATATACGTATGAACAGATACATGTAACTGTCTGGTCCTGAGCCCAGGCAGTACTGTGACTTCCATTCCAGATTAGCACCAGCTAAAGGGCAAGGATCCTCCTGCTCGGCCTTACTGGAAGTTGCAGACAGACGACAGACCATGCAACAGACAGTCAAGTCATTAATCCCACTGAGGGTCCCACATATCCCTCGCCCTTCAAAGTCCAAATCTTGGATTATGAAGGTGACATTGGTCCATAGAGCGTAGGGGGTTATACACACCTCATTACAGAGAAAGCAGGATAAGAACGGAAAAGCACTGAGATGTCTGAGCTTGGTTGGGTCACAGGTGGTAGAGCTTGAGAAACTAATGCTGATTACTGAATGATGTAATTTAAAGGAAATAAGAGCATGGAATACTTTAAAACAATGTGTCTAATCTTATAAGCCAAGCAGGCTACTTTAGTGCTTTGACAATGTGCATTGACAATACAGATATTGAGTTTTGTGCCAAAGCTGAAATGGTTTTGTGATCGGGGACTCAATGAGTGCATGCGGAGGTAGAGTGATAAAGTCATTACAATGGCATGCCACTGGGATTTGGAGAGGACTGGTCTGGCCTAATGGAGAGTCCAAAGTGGTACCAGGCAGGCGGGCGACTGCAACAAATAGTGCTGGGAGACCACAGAGTGAACATTAACGACAGAACTGCCTGTGTTGGTTAGAGGGCACTTCTACACTCATCCCTGTCCTACCTCCAGGGAATCTCTGGTTACAACATGTGGATTTCACTGGTGGTGATGCAACTTCCAGTCTTCACTACATCACGCTATCTGTTTATCCTCTGAACAATGTGGACTAATAAGCTCTTATGTTAACATGAGAGAATCTGATCAAAATTAAGTATATAAGAATATGTTTTACGATTAGAACAGTGATGAAAACAAAAATCTGAGCAACTTCAAAGCTCAAATTAACAGCCATGTTGAGTGCCATATGTGAAGTCTAATAATCTCATTGGACAAAGCCTGAAGCCCCGGCCCTTGAGAGTACCGGGGGAATCAGCTGTTTTGCATAAGGTTAATGGTTTAAAGACAAAAGAACAAACATTTTTTTCTTCTGGACAATTGAACTGCTACAGAAACCAGGGAAAACAGAATTCCTCATAGGTTACAAGATAAGAATATTTTCCAGTGACATTATAATACCAACAGAAGTAAAGCTATGCTAATGCTTTAAGGCTAATTAGAGTCAAAGCAATTACTAAATCAAAAATGTGATTAAAAAGAATCTGACGACTCTTTACCCATTTGTTTCAGGCCGTGGTGAGCTAAAAATAAGCGCAGAACATCGTGAACATGAGCAACATGAACACAAGTTACAGAGCCTTGATTGCATTCACAGCTTTGATGTAAAGTATGTTAAAGGACAAATGTTGAACTATAATGGCATAAATGTGAAAGTGAAACTCAAAATCAAGCAAATGTTATGTGTTATGTTATTAGTCCTATTTTATTTTAGCTTTTATGTTCAAGTATAATGAGTGCACACAAAGTACTATAACCTATACGGCTACAGTATGTAACAGTAAGTACTTTGATGGTGTTATCAAGGGGGAATTACTGCTCCGTCTTATCTCGTTCAAATTCACAGAGATTGAATAAACATTTACACAAATTATGAAAATTCTTTCTTTTACAATTAATTGCAATTTTTATATACCTAGAAGCAATGATGGCCGCAAGAGAATATGAAACATTTTATTAAATTATACTAACCAACATTTGGATGTGAAAAGCTTGGTTGCATTTGAACACATCTGAGAAAAAAAAAGCCTTGTTATGTGAGGGACAACGTGTTGAGAAATGTTTAGTTATGCTATGTGTTATGACAAGTTGTTTTCAGATTCAATCAAGCATTCTCAGCCCTAAATCCTGCCAATGAGGATTTGATGTATGCTAGCAGCATATCAGAATCCGACAGCAGTAAATTCAACACTTAGATCTGACCTGACAAGCCCAGAGTGTAGGTGTGTTGTGTACACATCAGTAATTTAGTATTTAGAGTATCATCTGCCCAGTTTTTTAATGTAAATATTCCCCCATGTTGTATTTGAAGTTACATAAATCAAGTTGGTCACACACGACACTGAGAAGCCCTTTTGAAAGAGGGATTAGATTTGGATTAGCTATGTCAGCACATATATGTCAACTCCAAGTCTACTGTCTCAGATTGCCCTTCCTATCGGATTAGGATTAGGGTTTTAACAATGCAGAAAAAAAGATTAAGGGACAGAGAAGAAGGCAATTGTCTTATTAACCTCTGAGCAAAGTTTACCTAAGAATCCTCCCTGGTCTTTTGATTCTGATTTGGTTGCTCAAGAGATGTTAATTCTGTCCAAAAGATCAGGCTTCACGGTGCTTGAACATGAATACCTCCAGTATTTAAAGAAGCTTCAGCTGCATTGGAACGGTATTTCCTGTTGATGACTCAACCGAATCAACAGTGTTGAACATTTGCTGTTCTTCAACATTTTTCAACTTTCACGACCCCCGTTCGATTCTTACAGAGTATATTGTGATGGTAGGTTGTGATAAAAAATTATTTCTTCACAATTTTCAAAACAAACTCAAAACTAAAAATACAAACCCTTTCTTCAAAATAGACTTTACATCCTGTTTGGCTGTCATGCACTGCCTAACTTTGTACAAGAGCTTACTCAATTCATGAGAGAGTGAAAAAAGGTCAGCAATCCAAATGTGGAAAAAAAGTAACAAAAGCTGATTTAATCCCTGCAAGGTGCAGCAAGAGAAACATGACTGATGTCATATTCTCTGCAGGACTCAAAACATTTCATCTTTCAGCCAGCAGGATTGTCTAAACCATGTCTATTCTGGTCCGAAACAGTACTTTAAACCCAGATATATGATAGTAGCATCTGACCCCTTTATTTCTCGTTTTGTTGACTAGATTGTGAAGCATTTCACCTCCATATGCATACACCATATGATACAAATATTTTTGGTTTAGTGTCAATCTGGCACCTCCGCTCATGTCAGCCCCCTTCATTCACAGCATCTAATGTCAAATGAGACTAAAATGATTTTGGAGAACATAACTCAATTCTTTAATCACTGATTTAACAAGAGTGACTCAGCCCACAATTGAGTAAAACACAGAGTGGATGAATGATTTGCAATCATTTCTGCAGACACAGACCGAACATGTTTGACTCACTTCCTGCATGACTGACATTTTGGCAAAATGGGAAGCTTTTTCATTGACATCATAATGAAGCTACAGTTCATCCTGCTGCCAGCACCCAAACTCCAAATTTCTGTACATTTGTTCTCTAAACCAAACAGTCTGCTGTTGTATGATGTTTTATTTTGTTTCACTTTTATTCAGAAGCTCTGATTCTATTCCCCGGTGGTAGCTGCCAAGTGGATGTGTGAAGTCGCTTGATGCTCTGGGCTGCCAGGTGTCTATTTTCCTTGTCTTCCCAACCTTCAAACAACAGCAGCCTCCCTTACAACAGCCTGGAGGGATGTGTGCTAACAGCAATTCCCCAGTTGGGAGCCTAGCAATTACAGCACCCCTCCTCTATCCCTGTAATTGCAAAGGGAGCTGCTTCCTGAGTGATCAGACTTCTAGCCTGCCACCAGGGAGACTGGCTTCATCACCCTATGGCAGCCCCAGGTAAATGAGGGTGTTTTGCTGGAGAGTTAAATAAAGGTTGTTCATTAATAGAGCGGGGCGATTCATATCTGGCCATAACCTTTTGCTCTGTGGTTAGCTGTGTTGCATGATGGATGGGACAGGTTGCCCCGGGCAAGTGCATCGACACTTTGTGGTGCATCCATAAAATATGACGGAACATATTGACAGACTACTGTTTCTGGAATAAAAACAAATATGCAAAACAGGCTGCTATTCTGTGACTGAATGTCGTATCAGCAGCAGCATAATCAGCTCTACAAAGATGACTTCTGCTTCAGGTCATTGCTCAAACTCAGGAACAGGAAAAAGTACCTCCTGTTTACATCCACATAAACATATTTAAACAGTTGCTTGAAACCCGACCTTACTTCATATTGAGGAGTGTTAAGTGTCACCCAGGGACATAAAGGAATGCCAATGTTTTTCACATGTCACTTCTCTCCAGATGAGAAACCTGACACTTTGTTATGTGTTTGTGGGTGTCATGGCAACAAAACCCTCTCATTGGTGGCAGCGGGGGTGCTGAGATAGCTAACAGTAGTTTAATGGTGCTGTGCTAATTAGCCCGTTAGCACAATACTATGCAAGATGGTAAATTAGACAAAGCAGTGAACGTTTGCCTGCAGGGATCCAGAGATCTGTACAGGTGAGGTTTGGGGTAATGCATCAAAGACGAACACAAGCATTTTAAAATAATGACATTAATCAGTGAGGGTTATGTAATACAGTAAATATGGTGAAAGAAATATAGTAAAGTCAAAGAGAGACCGTTAATGATTTTTGGTAAAACATTTATTTCTTACTTCATAAAAATGACATGACTGCACCTTTTAATCAACTCAGTCAAACCTGCTTCATTTCCATGTTTGTAAAGTAAAGCAATGCATACAGCAAAATAGTGCCTCTATAACAGCGGGGTTGCAGTACATCATTGTGGAATGAAGTCTGATAAAATGCTGACAAATGTATAAAGGTTGACTAAAACTCAACCATCCATAAATCTTAAATGAGACATTTTGGCCCACAATAGGTTTATTTTAATTCTTTCCAGCTATCACTGAAAGTAAGCTACAAAGATTTAGAGAAATGCTTATTTCTGTCAGTTGATGTATCATGGATAAGGGCATCATTAACACATCTAGTATCACCTTTAATAAAAATTAAAAAAAGCTGTACAGGATGATCAATGGGAGCCATTTCAGTACAGATCAATGAATGTGATTGAGCCATATGAATCATTTTCCTTTTGGAAAGAGCAATAAATGATTAGGCATTATGAAGCCCATGTAACAGGTTTTTGGAAAACGGATAAAACATCCCAGAAGTATTGAGACAGGACCTTCTATTGGATCCTAATCAACATTCCTCTGGAGAAACGGTACACATAGTGGTTAAGTCAAAATATTGCAGTGGAAATTCATATTATTATATTAACTTGAAGTTGGCTCAAGGGTCAACCATAAACTTGCTACCATTAATGGATCCATGTGTTATTACTGCTCGGGAGATCAAGGCAGTGCCATCACTCAGGTCTAATTGACATGATGAGGAGCTATTACTGTATTGATCCACCTGGCAAGTGGCACTGGATCAGCTGAGGCCCGTATCGACCTGACTAAGTGGGTCCACAGACCTCTGAGGGTCAGGCAAATGTTAACGGGATATTAACAGTTGTTTGTAAAGTTGGATCTCATTCAGCTTAAAAGGTGAAGCAAGAGCAGCATTTGGAAAAGTAAAAGAAGAAGAAGTGGCTATCCACATTAAGCCAAAAAAATGTCCTGGCAAAAAAAAAAATGATACTGACCCTGTTCATAATACCCGTAAACATTGTGCTTCCAGAAAAATTTTCCTGTTTTAGAATTAAAACTGTGTGTGGAGGATCATGAATATACCTGGTTAGGCAGCTTAGTGAGTTAATATCATAACAATAAATTATCATAAAATAGACTTTTGAACTTTTTACACATCCACCAAATACTGTACATACACTGTATAACAATATCTCCAGAGTGATAACATTATAAAAAACACATACAAGGGACCAGCATGAGTTTGTCATCATAGTTTCCTGTCAGTCCCAGCTAAAGTCATGACCAGTCATCTGGTAAAACTTGTTATTAAAGGGTTTATAAAAGTCCCTTAGCCTCTGCACCACCTCTGGGTCAATATTAGGATGGGTCCTGCCTTTGGTTTTGCCCAGGCAGTGTGGCTTGCTGTTCCCCTCAGGTCTCTTAAGGCAGGGGAAGCCCTTTGCCGGGTTAAAGTGGAAATGCTTCTCCGTGACCACCCTCCTTAGTCCAAGAAAGTCCTGGACGCGAGCCATCTCACCTGCAGGGTCGCTAATCAAATGCTCTCCACTAACAAACAGCAGCTGCTCCATGGGGAAGTACTGGAGCCAGCGCTCAAGGTGCTTAGCATACATGCCAATTTGAACGGCACTCCATGTGGTGTCAATCAGACCTGCTGACATGTTCTTAAAGGTCAGGCTCTCGAAAGAGGGGATGTCCGGCTTCTTGGAACGAGTCTGAGTGTAGTCTGAGATGGCTCGGGTGACAGGATCCCGGACGACCACAATCAGCTTTGTGTCTTTAGACATGGTGTAGATTCGAGCAGGGACCTCCTTTGTGACATAGTAGCTGGGGGTCTTCTCCATGGTCAATTGGCCCTCTGATGACTTGGGCATCAATTCCCTGCAAAGCACACAAACACACTGATTATCATTTGCACTATAAGCACTCTATGGCATGAAAAACAACTCTGTGCCATTTAATACTCTATTCAACTCTCAAACTTTCAAAAGTTCCCATTCAGAAAGATGAGATTAACACTGACACCGTAGCTCCATGGCAGGTTTAAAGTACTGTCAGGCAGGAGCAAGTCAATCACCATCAAGAAGACAATTGTAGACATCATGAGCAACATTAACAGAGCTTGTGAGTGTGCCTAAAGTGACAGGACGTGTTAGGTAGAGCAGGGGTCCTATCAATCATCCGTGATTGCATGTGAACACAATACACAGTTCATGACATGTTCTAAATACAAACCCTAAAGGTCGACATTCATCTCCTGCTGCTGCATTTAATCTACTTTAAGACCTCAATCCTTTCAAACCTCACAATCCTCATACTGAAATATTCCACACCTTCATTACATTATACAAAGGCAGGTTTAACTGTGAATAGGCAGTATTATATTCATAATGTCATGCCAAGGCAGATGACTATGACTGCACACTATTATTCATATTTATCAGTAATTTGTAAAAAATGTGACAATTTGGAAAAGTCTTGCATTCCTTAGGAGAAAATGCAAAGCATGGGAGCTTTCTGTTCCCATAACTGCATATTCTTCTCGACCCTGGATGGCTCTGGTTGATCATAATATAGCCTGTTAACTGCAGCCCTGACTGGATAATGGCTAAAGTGAGCCAAGGGGGATTAGGACTAAGCCAAACATGCTAGAGCATTAGAGGCTGGTCGACTGCCTTGTTGGCTGGCTGGGTGGCTGGTTTGTCTCTGCAGACAGAGGGGGGAGAGAGATACGTGGCTACAGCGATGAGAGTCACTGGTAAGTAGTTAATCCATGAAGAAATACAAGTGATGGACACAATAACACAAACTCCTGCACGGTTGAGTGCAACCCAGTGTAGTCACATTCTGTGAGACTGCAGCAGAATGGCGATCACTGAACGCAATATGCAATATTTTATGGGTGTAGTTTGAGGTTATTTTGCATTAAACTTGTGGTGAAATTGTTCCAAAAATGAACAATGTAATCCAATTCAACAACACCACAGACTACAGAATCAAGAGTAACAGAAGTTGAATCAACTCTACTTGTCAAGTTCACCGTTTTAAATAAATGTTGCATGTATTACAGGGATGTGTATCTGCATTTTTTATTGATACAATGTCTGTTGTGTGTTCACCTATTAAAACCTAGGTAAATAAAATTATAAACTCTTCACAGAGGAGCTCAACATCTTCTTAAACTGATGCATGTTAGCACAACATCAATGTTTTCTAGCTTCAGTGTAGCAGAAAATAGGTTATTTATATTACTAATGTATAGTATAAAATGTAGTATTTATTATGGAAATAAATATAAGCCATGATGTGATGTCTTAAGTGTTGACAAGCATCAGCCTCCAACATACCTCATGTTAGTTTTAGTTAGTCTAAATGTAACTCTTTAATTGTTACAGTGTTTGGTAATATTTTCATGTTTTGATTGTGAGCGGCTGATTTCAATCGAACAACAGGGAAGCAGAAGAGCCATGTCATTAAAGTGATTACAATAATTTCCAACCATCTGTTGGTACACGCACAAGGAGCTTCAATATTCCTCTCCAAACCCAGCAGCTTTCATCTTAGAAATTTATGTGGTGGAAACAAGCAGAAAATGGTCTGCAGTATCTGAATGTGCAGAGCACTGTGAAAAAGCTGTTGTGTTTATGGGAAAAGTAGACATCACCCATACCTCATTAGTGCCATGTAAACACACACAGGGTTCTCTTTCTTATACAATTTCATCACCTAATGTCACCTGCTCTTTCCTTCCTTCCTACAGAGTCCCTAGGTCTTACGCATTTATTCCATTTTCCCTCCCTGAGAGCCTAAGCCACCATTGTATGTGGTGAAAAAAACACAAACCTAATCAAGGTAATAGGTATGAGAGACACAAACAATGCTATCAGAACCCCCTGCAATTATCTTCCGCATCTCTTGGATACACACAAGCGGTGCGCCGTAGGCCTTCCTTGGGGCCTCGAGGGACACAAAAACTTACTACCAATCAAACTTTCCACTTAGTCCCAGAGCAAAACAATCTGTGTCAGAAGCACATGCATTATTCATCTTAGTGGATATAGAGCAGGGGAGAACATCTCTGACTGAACGAGGAGTGAGAAAGTTGCCTTAGGGGGGCAGATGTAGCAAGCTTTCACAATTTGTTCTGCTTAATAAACAATGTCGCCGGGAACCAATAGGTTTCAGTGCTTCCTCATCTATCAATCAGCCATGCAAAGGCGTCATCATTTGGCATCATTCAGAGGGGGGACAAAATAGTCCTCTCTCTAGAATTGAGCCACAGTGTGCTGACTTTTGCCCCTTCATGAATTTTGCATGATTCTATTTGACTTCATAAAGCTAAAAACACTGCTTTACTCTAAAACTGTAACATCTAAGTGGGCTTATATTTTCAAAGTTGTAAAGCAAAGAGTCTAACCTTTGAAGGGTTTTCTTCCTATAATTGGTGCACTAAAAATATATCTATATAGATGCTTGTGCATATATATAAACATCCTCTGCCCTCTAACCTGTCCTTTAAACTCACAGGAGAAAAGCACGACTGAGAAGATACCGAGGGGAGGCAGGGAGGAAGACTGTTAAGAGAAGGCATAAAAAAGTTAAGGGAGGAAGGAGTGGAAGGAATAAAGGAGGATTAGATGGGATCAGGTGCACTGTTGGACGATGAAGACGGCATAGGTCAACCCCACTGACCCAGAAGCCTAAGTCTAAAATCACTGACCACTTCTTCAGATGCTGTGGCTGCATTTTCCTTCAGCGGTAGCACAAGATGCATCTAACCCTTGACAGATAGTAATCCAGCAGAGGTGTATTGCGTAAGTTGCCTGTTTTGTCTCCCGGGCAGTCAGGTGTGTCCATTAAACTGGCTGCCGAGGAGGCCGTTTGAAAGCTGGTGCCTTGTTTACATTCACTGCTATCAGGAAGCCGGTTCAAAGGTAGGAATTTACAACATTGCTGCACAGATGATGCCCTCAGAAATGAGTTCACCAAAGTATAGAACAAGTACGGTGCAGAAAACTCCGATAAGGCTCTCACTTTTGTATCCTGCGGTATTCTGCTTGACTGACTCTAATTGGCATCTATATTTCAACTTTTCAGACCACGGTGACAAGGGGCTGCTCGAGAAAAAAAAAAACTCAGCATTATCTAATGTCATTTTGGGTTCTAATCTTACACTGAGGCTGAGAGGGGTTGAGCGACTGTGGGAATTGTTCCTGTTCTCAAAGACAGGATGAGAGGTGGTGGTATGCAGCCACTTATAATAATCAGACCAATATACTGTGAGATGAGTTCCAGACAGAAATCAAAGAGGAAAGCATCTTTAGGGAAGGTGCTCTCATTGCAGCCCATCTTATCATCCGTGTGAAAGTCATCGTCATCAAGCTTTACACTCAGGACATTCATTATCTCAACAGCATTCCTGAACAACAATGATAGTGCAGAGAATGCCTTTTTCCCATCCTCCATTATTACTGTCAGTATGCAGAACTCAAGGCCACCTGGCTGTCTGATGGAGACAGGCCCAGTTTGAAGAGAAGGAGGAGGAGGAGGAGGAGGAGGAGGAACAGTGTGTGAGCCATTCTGGCTTCCCTCACACAACTGTCAGCCTTGCATTAACACATAACAATTCTGACAGTCAGTTGTTTATAGAATCAGCGAGCACTTTTTATTAAGGTGGTGCGGCTGGAAAAGCGTATAACAACAATGCTGGACCAATCACACCGGATGACATTACACTCTTTGTGGAAGTGATTGAACATCAGAATTATCAGAATCGGTAATGCATGATAAAAATCAATATCAGTATGTATGGATGTATGGTTTGTAGCTAATGCTTTGACTGCTGTGTTAATAAATACCTATATTCTAAGGGAGATTTTTGGCCAGATAGAGCCAAGAGCAATGTGCAATGTGTTCCGCTGTCAACAGGTTGTTTTTGTCAGATTCTGTTTAGGGCAGAAGCTCAGAGGGACTAATCAACAGGTGTGGTTCTGACTTTAAAGATAAAATAAAAGAAACATGAATGTTTGTTATTTATATGAGCCAGAATATGTTACCCTGACCAGGAACTCACAGGGAGATCATGTAGCAGCATTAAAAACACAAGCCAACAGTGAACCTCTAATTTAAAGGGGATCTCCCCTGACATTACACATACGTGTTACATGAGTCAACATTAGTTTGATGTTTATTAAGAAATTAAGAAAGAAAGTGAGCTTGCCAGACCTCTGTAGCCCGCTTGAGGCTAGCAGCATGAGACAATATTAGCCACTACTGGGGTAACACACCCGAATCTCTGACCAAACTGTCATTTTTGGGTAAGGTATAGTCCACATTTTGACAAGGAAGAAGAGTAAAAAGGACAATATCAGTAGTCTGGCTGCATCCATTTAACAGTTTTATAGAAGTGCAATGGTAAATCAGTACTAGCAGAAGCACTATTTACTAGAACCCGAAAAAATTACCCATCCATCAAGAAAAAGGGAATTCTGAATGGGCATGAAAGTGCCTTCAGAGAAAAGCAAAAAGTGCAATTACTGTACACAGACTTGGTCAAACAAGGCCAACAACAAAACACAACACAAGGTCAACTTATATAATCAAGTGAGCTTCAGTACAGTTTCTTACATAAATAAAGTGGTGGGGGAATTCTGAATGAGTAAAGAAACAAAAACTGCTGCCACAGAAAAAGAGGCAGAAACAGCCAAGTTAATCACGAGAGCAGGTGACTAAAGGTTATGTGTTCATGTAACCAAGTAGTTGTAGTTCTATACAGCAAAACAAAATTGTTTACCCATAAAATTTGATTGTTAAAAGAAACCCCATCCTTTCAATGTAATGCATGTAACGTATATAGTGGTTGGTACAATTAGATAATGCCTCGCAGATGCATGCTGGTCTGAAAAGGATCAGCAAAAGCAAACAAGACTTCAAAGACGTAAATCAAAGATGGCTGAGGCAGATTGGTGCTTTCTAAAGTCGCTCTGACTTGCTGTCAGGGAGTCTCTGCAGTGGAGAGAAAGATAGAAGCAGGAAACAGCGCATTTTCACTGAAGATACTACAAAAAAGAGAGATGAGGAAGTCAACAACTCAAGGGGATATAATGGAGTGAACTTGTTTTGTTTCAGTGTTTCCAAAGTGCTGTAATAAGTGCTGTGGTTTGACAAATTGCCTCAAGCAAAAGCCCAGGGGGTTGTTGCAGCAAATTAAATCTTCAATCTCCTGGAGAGGGAGGGGAGGTGAACATTACCAGTATTGACAATTTAGTGGACTTATTCTAGGAATGCTAGCATTATTTTAGTCTATCAGAAGCAATGATCTGATAGAGTCTGGACTGCTTCTTGCATTGACATTTTCATGGTTTTATGATTTGTGGAAAATCTTAGGAATGTTTGAAACAACAGCTAGCATCTGTGAATTGTTTCTCTGAAGCATCTCATTATCTACGCGCTTTTCCCTTCTTTTCCTGTCAGTGTGCTGACACATTAGTTTAAGCTGGGGGATACCTATATTGAGAGCTCTCTAACTTACACCAATCCCCCTGTGTCCTTGCAAAGAGCTAAAAGTGTTGAGTAAGCAAAAAGCCACCACTGGACTCAAATGAACCTACTCTTGGGAAACACAACTTTCCACATAGAGATCTCTGAAAGTCAACTTTCAGCCTAAAAAGCTTAAGTGTAGTGTTTGAATCTTTTCTTGGGCCGGTTCCAATGAATGCTCTTTCTGATGAACTCCTGCTGGGCTTCGTCAAAGGGCACTTTCACCCTTGTGAGCACATTTGCATACAAAGTGAAGGCAGAGAAAACATGTTTCACACTAATTGTCTGCTCTTTTATTGTCAGGGTTAATGCAGACCCCAGGGGTTCTCCAGCACCCCTTTCATTGAGCTCCATAATACTGTTGCACTTTCTAAAGACTCACTTTAAATTTACTGCCCTCTATCTGCCACTGGCCTGCAGTAAGCTTCCCTGGGGCTCTGAGGAGGATTACGCCGTCTTTTCTGACACCCTCAGTGAGTTAGTAAGAAGGCCGCTCATTGTTCTACATATGGAACCTCAAGAGGAAAAACACAATTACAGCGATTAATTCCCATCTACAGTATAGAAAGAAGAAGACCTTGATTTGAGCATACATTCAGTAGATGATTAGTTCACCTGCCAAGATAAGACATACGGGAGGAAGTTGGGATGCTGTTATTAAAGAAGGGAGGGGCATAGGAGGTGGTCTGTGTGCACAATTGTCTGCCTGCTTCTCGTCTCTTCTTTTTTCCGCCTATGGGTAAAAATGTGCTGTATTGTGGTTGGTGTCCTGCTGTGCAGGGGGACCTCTCCTCTATATGGGGCTCCACCAGGATGGACACAGCAGACCCCCAGCAGAATGGACACACCAATCACAGCAGATAAATGGCATGGGCACAACTCAATGCCACCACAGGAGCTGATAAGCCCACCCAGCAGACAGCTTCTCTCCCCAGGCTGCCGCCATTAGTGTGGGGGCAATGAAGTGAAACATATGTGCAAACAAATCAACACACACCTTTGTAACGATTGACACTCTCAGCTCATCTTCAAGACATATTTTTGATCAAACAGGACATTGGATAAGTTTTAACAGGCCCTTAAAAAGGTGTGTCAGTGCTTATTTATTAAGTAAGCACATCGTTGTGTGGAAAAACTCATTCGTCCAACAGCGGCGTGTTCTCGGAGCTCCACTAAATGATCATTAAAGGTTGACTCCATGTCACGGTGCTATGCTGTATGGGGTCAATCTGTGGCAGAGTGCTCTCACTGTGACAACTCAAGCCAAGTTGTTTTAATTAGCGCGATCACCTCTGTGGGAAAAGAAGTCTTCATTATACATGTCTCAAGATGAAACGGTTTCCCACATCCACTAGCTGCGTGTTTGGTATGCAGTTGCCACTGTGAGCAAGATGCTGACACGTCTCAATTATATGCAACTGCTTCCTAGGCTGTTACTTACATAACATTTAATTTTATTCATCTTTAATGATAGCTTCGCTTTCTTTTTAGACATTACTTGTAAAAAAAAAAAAAAAAGCATGAAGAGTAAAAAAAAAATCTTCAAGCATAGGATGATTTCAATTTGTTCTTGTTGCTCAGTCTGTAGAGATAGACAAAAGATCACTCTTCACGGATTGATCATCCAAAAATGTCCTAAACCTGTCCGGAAATTCTTAAAGGAGCTTAAGCGAGAAGTCCTTTGAACAATGCTTCGCTTCCCCTATTGTAGCTCTATGGAGCCAGCTTTGGAACAGTGTCTCGATCCTTTGACATTGCCTTTGACACTGTTAATCCCTCGGCTCAGTCAAACGGACACTTGAAAAAAAAGTATCTCTTATTATCTCTTATTAACAATGAGGTCACTGATGTAAAGCATTCAGCGTCAAACCATTTCCGGTAACATTCGGGGTACATAAAATATTGATAATTTCCAGGAATAAACGTGTTTGCCATCTACTTCTACTAACTGTGCAGCTGAGTCAATAGTAAAGAGCTTGCATATTGAGATGTGAGGACAAGGCCAACAGTTGCCATGGCAGAGAATACAATAAAAACGTTATGATACATAATGTTGAAGGTGTGAGGAGCCTAAAATCTCTGATCTCTGACTTTGACATTGACGTCTATTTGGATTGAAGATCAAAACAAATTGCTGCCACTGAATCAATACCCTGTAACTCATAATCTTGAATCATGCTCCTGGCTGCTCAAGGATGACAGCATGATATAACTTGCTGACTTCTAATCATAAACCAAGGGCTGTTTCTTTGAACTGCATCCACAATTCAGGTCAAATTTAAATTTTTTCTTCCCGGTATCCCCCTTATTGTCAGAGAGCCACAGATAGTCTAGATCCAAGGACAGATGTAGAAAAATTCGAGGAACTCTGTGAGTGAAGGTCATGCAAACAAGCAGAAAATTGATCGTGCTGTGTAAATGAACATGGCTGAGGAGAGTTGCGTAAAAAAGAGTCTTCCGAGAAATGTGGGTACGTAGAGTTGTTCCCTATTCGAGTGCTCTGACCTGTGATGTTTTACTGACATTAGATGTTTGATTGCACCTGCAGTTGTTAAAACCATAGGACAAATGGCCTGGCCCAGCTTTTACAATGGGTATATCAACAGTTTTTATCACCTTATCAGCAGTGTTTTATTGGCTGAGTTTCAGCTTCCTTTCTATCAATTACAATATATATACACTGCAACTGTTTCCTGTAAATTCTGTGTTTTTACATAATGCTTCACTTACTGTAAACCTTCTTTAGTCTCTGGCCTAATAAAGACAGTAACATAGTGGAATTACCGTCATTTTATAAACTGACATAAATTACTACAAAATCTTTTTAAAAGTGTTCAGATTTACCAGCAGGATCATGTCACCTGCTCCTCTCAGTAAAACAAATCTGCCATTGCATTTCACAGTATCAATATTTTCTTTTCCCAGTTTCTCTGTTCTTATTATCTTATCACCTTAAACACATCTTCCCCTGAAACAGACTGAATTATCAGTTGATTTCACGGCTGATTATTATATCTTGTGTTCTTTTTGCTGTTGAAAATGACGAAACGACTTGTCAGGATAATATAATATAGTAGCTAGGGTGTAATATAAATTAAAGGTTATATCAGAGTAGAGTTTTAAACAGGCAGTATTTATTTAAAATAAGATAACATTGTTTGCTTTGGTGGTTGCTTAATGGTTATCAATTATAAAATACAAAGTAGATGACAGTTGCAGGTATATTTCTTTTAGAAGAACAATAATATGCTGTTTGTGTTTTTATTATGCTTCCAAAGAGGCTCAATAACTACATGCAATATAGCCTACCCTTGAGCAAGGCGGCAGCAGAAGCCCACTTTTTCCAAAGGTACATATGAAGCAAAGGCAGAGCTCAGTTGACTATGTATATCTCTCTGGATTCGTGTTTTAAGATATAAATAGAAGATCAGCGTGATACCTGTACCACTCCAGTCCCTTGTCGTAGTTGCGGTCAAAGAAGTGCGGCTCAGCTCCCACCGCTCTGATGTCTGGGTGCAGGCGCAGGAACTCCAGCAGTGCCCGGGTCCCTCCTTTCTTCACCCCGATGATGATCGCCTGGGGCAACTTTTTACTTTCCGACTCATTGAGGAAACTTGACATGGCATTATCATCCAACGCCTTCGCCTCGCCTCTAATTTCATCCCACTCCTCTCCTCTGCTGTCCAAATCGTTTTCGTTATTCAGCAAGTCCCTGGACGCCCCGAGAGACGACTCCTGATTGTCAACTTCTGCACCGTTTTCGTGCCTGTTCACCGAGCCGTACGCCAGGGTTGGCACAGTTGAGCAGTAGCCAACACAACAATAAATCATATACACCCAGAGGGACAGCATTATGCAGAACACGAATAGTTTATTTTTCACGTGGGATGATGGCACAACATGTAGGCTGTGTAAAATCGGACTATATTCCATAGGACCGACGTGAAAAAGTTATATTCCAGTTAACAGGCATTTTGGCAAAAGGCGCCTCACTCCTCTGCCATGACTCAAATCCCGGACACTCGGTGCGCAAGATCCCAAAACACAAATTAATAACGCCAATGTGGACACTGATATTGAATTGTACGGCGGGCGTCGACCTCCTGCTTCAACCCCTAGATCTGCCTTGAGATCAGGATGGATGTTTTTATTCTTAATAGGAACAAAAAATCTGGAAGAAAAAAAAAACTGCAACAACAACAACAACAACAACCAAAAAAAAACAATGGAAATATCGCCAGGTGAGCGATACGCGCGTCAGGGACTGAGTTTGTCTCCCATCACTTGCTCCCAGTGTGTGAGCGCTCATACAGCAGCACCAAGTTATCTACACCAGGCAACAGCATCAAGCGTGCAGGAATATGAGAAAACCTACTTCCGGTAGAGCATTTCAAAGTAAAAATGTTAAGAACGAAGAAAACTATTGAACTATAATATATATATATATATATATATATATATATATATATATATATATATATATATATATATATTTGAAACTGGTAAATATATATATCACGTATTATGTTTGTTTTGTTTTACAGTGTTTTCATATAGGCCTATACATTAATTCCATATATTTACCACCATGGTGATATTTTTACAGATGGCAGGCTATAGATCATAACTGTAAGCTTAAGGAAATAACACTTGAAGAGTGAGATGAAGAAGAATTACTTTTATAATATCCAATAAAATTATGTATTCATGTATAGTTATATCTATATGCAAATAATCTCAACAAATTGTGTTAATTTAGCATAGCTGCTCCAGCAGTGTCACGAAAAACTAAAATAATGAATATTCACATATATGCTCCAATGGTTGTTAAGGTTTTGTCCCTGCATTCTTCCAGTGATTTGCATCAAAAAATATTTTAATATTCTATACAAAATACTTACTCACATTACTTTTATTTTGAAAGTTGTGAAGGTTCCTGTTCTGTCTGTCTGCGTCTACTTTGAGGAAGCTCTCAGAGTCTCAGAAATACTGAAGGGTGGATGACTGCCAGTGGAGCTGAACAATCCCTCCATCCTGAACAGATTGGAGCCTTTTAAATGTCAAACACTGAATGGCATTACAAACTGAGTGTCACAGGTACCGTGTGGCTCGTTTTTATTTTCAGTTATGATGCAATAAACATTACACCAGGAGCACGAGTGGAGAGAAAACATTTCTTATTACAGTGCAGCTGTGCAGATGTTTGAAATGCAAGAATTGTAAAATGTAATGAGGGCTCTCTCTGTGCTCTTCAAAGCTGAATACAGAAGTAGCCCATGCTCAAATGTGGCATGTTTACTTGTTTGCGTGTTTACAACTTTTCATACTGACCTAGACACCAGCACACAAACAACTGATATGACTGAAAATATGTGTCAAGGATAAGCTGTTGTCTTTAACAGCTTCACACTTTTCCTGCTATTATGGGGTGAACGGTCCAGTGAGTCAGAGTTAATTGGCCTCATAATCCTTCCTAATTGCTTTTGTAATCATTCCAAACACGTAGTTCTACATAAACAAATGTTATCAGCATATTTTAGGGATCCATAAACGTTAATAATTTACTCTTTAGGGACATGGTGGTGCATTCACTGGAAGGTTGAGTCATGATGAAGATGTTTGACCACGAATTTTCAAATCCCACCGAAAGTTTGGTCTGTGTGTGTCCCCGTGGCACCTTCTCTTGATGAAGGGTCAAAGGCCTCCAGTCCCACTGCACCCCTGAGCTAGCAGAGGATTAGCAGGATTACCCCAGAGCTGCCATGTCAGTCAGAGTTTCACCAGAGACAACCCTGCCCCCTTCATCTAAGCCCCTTATCTCATCTCTCAGACACTACTATATATGATATATGAGTGTGTGTGTGTGTGTGTGTGTGTGTGTGTGTGTGTGTGTGTGTGTGTGTGTGTGTGTGTGTCTGTGTGTCTGTGTGTGTGTGTTTTCTAATCCTAATAGTTGCATTTCCACAGTGCATGAGCACAAGATAACCTGCTTGAGAAAATGTGTGCGTCAAGGGGTTTGGTTAGAGCTACACAGTCATGGTTTGCCCTCTCTGCTCCGTGTACAGACTATGTTTGTCTTTGCACTGTGTACTTGTAACTCTCTGGGTGTAAGTTGAATGGTTGAGTTCAAGTGTTGTTAGAGTATTAACTTTATATTTACTCTGAAGTCCATATGCATATGGAAGATGATACAGACGCTTATGTTTGATAGATAGTCTTTATTCCACACGCAGAGCTCCCAGCATGAGAAAACTATCATTAAATACAACTGTGAGGAAATCACTAAACATCTGTTTGGAAAGAGTTACAATATGTTTGTCTGACTTGGCCTTTTTATGGCAAAGTATTAGTCACAACTAAAGTTTTTTCTGACAAATTCAATCAGTTCTTGCCAAGTGTAAGCAACCCAGAGGACTCTCATGGAGCACAGCCAAATGAGATGTGATGATATGAACAAGTAATGTCTCCCTAATATATTAAATAATATTATCTCTGGAAATGTTGCATCTGACAGAAGAACTTTGAATGTAAGTTTGATTTAAACAAATATGTGCAAACCATCCAGTCAGTTGTGAAAAGTGACTTTATTGTTGTTTGTTTATGTTGATGTTGGGCAGGTAGGATTTAACTGTCTGTTGAACAGTCCAATACTGATTAAATGTATCAAGGAATATAACACAGTTAAGTCATTCTTAAAAATATTCTGAAATATTTGAACATGCAGCACATCAATATTACAAATTATTTCTCAATTAAAGTTAAAGTCATTAATTAATCACTTGTACAAATCTAGAGACAGTATCATGTAACTGATCATTTGAAGGATGTTTTTTTATTTTTTTATTTATAATAATTTAAACAGTAACATGCTATAACAAAGGGGATGGACCTTATTTTTTTCTTTTTTCTGTGGTTCCATTTATGTCTGCATGGAGCGGATTGACAGACTTCCAAGTGGAGCGCAGTCATTGAAGGACGAGACTTAAAGTAAAGACACCTGAGGGAGGGATACACACACACACACACACACACACACACACACACACACACACAGGGTACAAAAGCAGACACTCTTTTTCCAGGATTCCGTAAAATTGTGTGTGCTGATTAGCTCCGTCTGTTAGAGACAAAACCTCACACACACACACACACACACACACACACACACACACACACACACACACACACACACACACATGCACTCTGGGTCATCTCACAAGGTCTCAGGAGAAGTAAACCGGACACACTAAAGGGAGTGCTTGACTTGTTCTACACATCCTCAATACAATTACTTAAGTGAACCATATTAACACGCTCCTCTTCTGCAGCCTAAACAGTATAGATAGTTAAATAAAGCACTGCATAAGGACACCCACTGATATTCAGGCATGTATCATCTACCGTATAGCTACAGTAAAAACAAATGTAACCAGATCAAACCTTTGTATATTTGGGTTGTCAGTCTGCCATTCTAGTGCCATTTTCTAATATAGTGTTCACACCACGGAAGACTTTTCATTGCCATGAGAAGAAAGCATAAAGCTGGCTCTCCACCTAACAGGGGCATGTGGCATCCCACACATTGACAAAGTAGCTTTAATGCTGTTACAACGTGCTGTTACATGCTTGCCTATCACCCTGTCCTATCAACATTTTTTTCAAAATTAACTTGTCAGCATCCCTGCAGACGTGTGAATAAAGTCGGAATCAGTTGGATAAGCGAGCCCTGTGGGAATCCTTGTGTGCATACGTACAATCTATGGTAGTTATTTAATGTGTTATACAAAAAGAAACATCACATTGCACTAACATCACTGTTGGAGCAACCTCCAGATGTCAGAGATCTGAGCCCATTAGTGGGTAAAGTGGACTGATGGATGATCTCATCCAACCCTCTATCCCAGAAAGAACAAACAAGCGCAAACAACATAAGGGCTGACCGAGGTCTTACACACGCACAGCCCTCAGTCTAATGACAGGGTTATTAGGTGAGCCGAGAGGCAGATCAACACACCGCTCTTGGTCCTTAAGTCCGTCTTCAAGGTCTTCCACTCTGGCTAAGGCCATTTAAAATGTCTATAAATTCTCTGGAGCCGTGGTAGGGACCATCTTATCTTCTTTTGAGGAATAGCCTGAGCGGATTTCCTCACTTGATCCTGTAGAAAAAGTCTTATCCCTCGCTGCTGTCCTCCTGGACATTGGAAGCAGCCCTGTGGCAGGTTGGAGGGCTCAAGCAGCCTTAGATGTGCTGGTCCTGCCAAGTCTTGTTCAAGCTAAGAAATCCTCTAATGCTGTAAGCTCTTTTATCATAGGTGAGTGTCAAACAGTGGCGGAAATAAAGATCCACTGACTTTCATAGTTCTGGGAGTGAGCATTTGTGAAATAAGAGTGGTATCTAGATGCAAAGCATCGAAAACATGAGGCACAATCTGATTCTTTCCCTCCAACTGCTGGTGACAATTCAGATGTGGCACATCAGTTCACTTTATAAGTTTTTATCCAGTTTGACAAATGAAAGCTTTCCAAACACGTGTAATTGTATTGGTTTAAGAAAATGACCTCACACTGACATTTGTTATGGTCTTTTACCCTATTAGGAAGTTTCTTATATTACACTGTATACAGACAGATCTCCAGTCCTATAACACACAGATATCAACAAGCACTTACAGAGATTTCTGAAATTGTCTCAACCATTTAGTGTATTTTGGTATCAGGTATGACACAAAATTACCACTTCATTTACAGGTCTATTTTAATTGTGCATTCTAACATGCTCAGCAAACTTACTGCTGTAAATTATCATAGTTAAGTCAAATAATTAAACCACTGGGGGTTTATATCACACTTTCAAATATTACTGTATTCTGCCATTATATGCTTTGGTAGGTGTAAAGTTTAGATTGGTGGAAACAATGATTTTTTTAACTGTATGCCAGCTCTCCAATTAGAGAGATAGACACAGAACCAGGGGCCTTGATTCCACTCAAACTTTATTGATGCCATATCAGGCACAGTTGTAGGAACAGACAATAGTGAGTCAATGTAGCAGTAAAACTGACATACACCAATACAAACTGTCATATTAGCACAAAACTTCCCAGTAAGAGAGAGAAGCAGCTGCCAGTTAGAGTCTGACTTCAGCCGTGTTAAAGGCCCAGTGTGTAACATTTAAGAGGATCTATTGGTAAAAATGGAATAATATTCATAGGTGTATAATCACATGGAAAAAAGATTGTTGTGTTATGTCGTGTTTTCATTACCTTAGAATGAGCCTTTTTTTATCTACAGAGGGAGTGGGT